GTAAGGGTGTTTAGTTGTTGCAAGATTTGGTCCGTAACAGCTCGCCCTGGTGGTGATAACCTTTGCAGTACAGCCCTTTGTAGGTGTTTCATGTTATATTCAGTTTTGCTCCTCAGGCTGCTGTGTCAGTTGTTCGTCTGGCAAGGATGAAGGTGATCTAACTGCGGCTGCAGTACGTGTGTGCCCAACGCTGCATGTGGGACATGCTAGGAGAGGATGTGGCGGGTGAATTGGGGTGATCGCATTGGGGGGATAGTCCACGCAGTAGAGACACTCAGACACATACTTGCAGGGATAGCTTCCTGAGAAATTGGCAACACATGGCATGTCGCTGACATGCCAGCGGGAAAGTAGGCCGACGTTCGCAGCTATTTAATCAAGGAGTGGGGGGGATAAGTGTAAGAGACAGTGGGTCACAGTTTTCACGGCAAAGGCTGGCAGTGACCATCCTCGTAGTGTTCGGAGCGGAGACTATGTTGTGTGCATGCTAACCGAACTGTAGGTGTGCGGAGAGACATAAGTGAAGAGACAGTGGGTCACAGTTTTCACGGCAAAGGCTGGCAGTGACCATCCTCGTAGTGTTCGGAGCGGAGACTATGTTGTGTGCATGCTAACTGAACTGTAGGTGTGCGGAGAGACAATGGCATGACATAGCCACCATCCTCTGGAGAGCCCCCTTCACTATCCGTGGTAGAATCCTTCCAATTTACACAGGGAAGGGATGCTGCCTGGCCATGTACAGGGGAGGGGGGAGGTTCAACTGCATTGCTTGTGACTGCATGTCTACATACTGTTCCTGATTGACCAGCCAGACCGAGTGCGCTTCTACGACTTGCGAATAGAAAGAATTAATATTTCGCATTGTGTGCGCCCTGCAGCCATTATCCCATGGGGTCCATAAATTATCCGCAAAGGTAACAGCACTGGAATGACCTGGATGATGCAGGATGTACGCATAGATATCCATGTCTGGCATGTATCCGGTGGAGCGGGCTGGAGTTGTGCTGTCATCGTCTGGGCAGACAGCACGGTGCTCTTCTTCTATCCAGCGGACAATATCTGTGTGTGTGTGTGTGTGTGTGTGTGTGTGTGTGAGAGAGAGAGAGAGAGAGAGAGAGAGAGAGAGAGAGAGAGAGAGAGAGAGAGAGAGAGNAGAGAGAGAGAGAGAGAGAGAGAGAGAGAGAGAGAGAGAGAGAGTCCGTGACAGTTAAGCTTCAGATGAAGACACAGTTTCCCCCAGTATAGAGATTATAAACAAACTTCCAAGGATGCATTCCAAAGCTTCACCGGGCAGTGCACCACTGAGCATAAGACCCAGGTGTCCCCAAGGAACGTTTAACAAAGACGGCACATAGCACAGATAGCATAGGGCTAATGAATGACAGACTGACTCATGCTGTTTTCATCTGATTCTCGCCAACTCATCAGGGGGTGAACTCTCGACAGGCACAGGGGGTGAACTCTCTGCAGGCACAAGTATCCCATATAGATGCTCATATGGATGCTTTGAGTTCAATCTACTTTAGGCCTTCTTGCGAGTGGACAGCCAGGCAGGTCACACAGCACGCAGCCAGGCTGGTGACACTGCAAGCCGCCAGGCAAAGCAGGCAACCGTAGGCAGAGGAAGCTCAGGTAGGCAGGCTACAGTCTTCCCCCGAATACAACGTACAGTCATTATAGTTGAATTTGGGGTATCTTTCAGTTTTAATACAGCTATTCAACACGGGCCAAAGCATATATATGAGCACCTACTCACACTACAAATGGAACTCTAGATTGTTGGTTCACGCTACCACTAGTCGGTTCGGCTAATGCCTTGTCCTCACCAGGGAATACACAGGCAAACCAACAAAAAAAATAAAATTGTAACATTCAGAATGTGACCGGCTTACCTGTAAGGTGCATTCATTGTGAGCACGACCTCCTGGACTACCTAGCCCGACATCATTGCAGTAGAGAAAAATGTTTTTTTTCCTTTTTTTTCGTCATTATAAAATTCAGATTTATGGGACATTGTCGACCCTTTGTCCCACCTCGAAACGTTCGGGTACTGGCCAAGACATCGTAACTTCTTAACACCGGCGGGGGTGCTGGTGGTTTTCAAATATAAAAAATAATATATATATCTATCTATCTATCTATCTATATATATATATATATATATATATATATATATATATATATATATATATAATCACATAATATCAGAGCGCCTAAGCGAAAAAACCAAAAAAATAAAAAAATCTT